AATGACTCTAATTTTATCATATATTTTTGATGAAAAAATAAAAGAAGATTTCGTTTCATTCATAAATTGTCACACATACTTTTATAATAAACAAAAGTCAAACTAGGATAAACAAAACAATCATAATGAAGAATGTTTAGAAAGCAACATTATTAAACCAAAACTCACCGGTGATGTTCTTGGAAAATTAGTAACTAATATTCTAAAAAGTTTAAATTTTATCTTGAAACACTTTGGTGGATTCGCAACTGGTGGTTGCTTAGTTATGACATGTACAGTTCGTGGTGCTGTTAAATATATTCAATCAAATGCCGAATGCAGTTTATAGTCCATATACCAATCATTGTTTAAATTTATCAATATCTAAATCATCTGGTGTCATGGCAATCAGAAACTATGTTGGAATTATTAAAGAAACTGTTATATTTTTTATGTCAGCCAAAAAAAAATCATATTCTTAAAACAGCATTTGGTAAAGAAAAACATTTGATAAATTTATGTGAAACAAAGTGGATTAAAAGACACGACAGCGTTTTGATATTTAAGAATTCTTTACACTATATCATTAAATCTCTAAACCTTATAACCAAATGGCAAGATAATAATTCATCGGTAAATGCCTATTCTCTTTTAAGTTCATTAACAACATGTCAAATTATAATATCATTATTTATACTCTCAGATTTACTCAACTTAACGTCACCTGCGAGTAAACTACTTTAAAGTGTTCAAAAAGAACTACATTTTGCAGAAGATTGCTTTCAGGATTTTATAATCATTATGGAAAATAGGGGGTCTGACTGTTTTGTAAACTTTAAAACAATATTTATAAAAAGTAAACAACTTATGGAAAAATTGGATCTGGAATTAAAGTTACCTTGCATTACAAAGCATCAAATACACAGACCAAATATAAATACTTTATCAGTAGAAGAATACTTTAGAGTTTCTGTTTATAATCCACTGTATGATCATGTCCTTGATGATTTATAAGATAGATATTTAAGTAAGAAAAATGTAACTATTTATAAATTGTTACTTCTTATACCAACCCTTGTTGTTGCAATATGAATAAAATTGCTGACACTGTTGATAACGAATACACGTTTATTTGCATAGAGAAACGACAGTTTTCTTCTGAACTTTATTTGTGGATTGCAAAATGGACCAGAGTTAAAAATGAAGATAAAATAACATCTATTTTAATATTTTTAAGTACAAATTATCTATATTATAAGAAATTATTATCTTATTTATAAGGAGGTTATATATAAGAAATTAATATTTTATTTATAAGGTGGATCTACCATCTACAGTATTAGATGGTTTAAATTATTGTCCAGATATATTGTTCCCAAGTATTAGAATAATACTTTTTATCATTGGTTGTCTACTCATTAGCATAGCATCAGCTGAAAGAAGTTTTTCTAGTTTGAGAAGGTATATCTGCATTAAAGTTTATATTATTAAATTAATAATCAAATAATCTCATTTTTTTTAAAAAAATTAATCAAAATCTAGATTAAAGGATTGGTTACAATCCCAAATGAGTTGAATGGTCTAGCTCTAATTTATGTTCATAGGGAAAAAAATTGTTAACAGATAGCGTTATTGAGCGGTTTTCAAGATTTTAAAAAAGAAATATTGAATTTATATTATAATTTTGAATTTATTTTAAAGATCAATGGTATATTTTTGTTAATACTTGTATGTATTATTTTAAAGATGGTTTTGGGTAAAAATTGTTAGCGATTCAACTTTTGTTGATAACAACTATAAACTAATAAATAGGCAATCTTAATAAGCTTGTTGTGTGTAGATAAATTTTCAATAATTTAAATCCATTAATTACGTCAAGCAACTTTTTTATCCCCATTGTAACGCTTCTGTGACAAGTTCCTTACGAGTCGTCATAAAACCACTAAAAATGTCACCTCCCTCCCTTTAGAATGTGGCGTAATTTAAATTAATCTTTTAGTGAATTTTTGAACTTTAAATGGCTCCCCTCCTCCATGGTGAGTGATGAAACACGCCCCTGTCAAAACCCTTCATACTTCCGTCAAATAGATGACTTGTTTGGTCCGATTGTTCTTTTTATCAATGCTTGAGTTTTTATTTTGTTTAATTACACAAGAGAAAACTCCATCATCAAATTCAACAAAACTACTATAGCTTTAAAATTTCATTGAATAGTTACATCAAACCAAATTTTCAAAAATGTTTTATTATCTATGACCAGGCATTGTGGGAACATATTTTTTCAATAAACGTTAGGCCTACTACACACGATACTGTTTGTGTAAAGCTCAAATAGAAGAGGAACGGAAAAATGTTTAAACTGCCAAATAACAGCAATAATAAAATTTTAAAAACATTTAATTTTTCATAAATAAGTCCATGACGAGCCTTATTAAGAACATATAATTTTAAAAATAATTATTTTCATTAAAAAAATAACTACAGATTTTGAAACAAAATTAATCTTTGAACTAAAAAGATTGTAATATTAAAAATACTTTATTTTCAGATTTATGGATTTTTTATATCATACGACCACCACAAAAGTGAGCATTCTTTATAACCAACGTAATTAAAAAATAAAAAATTGTTTCCTTTTTAAAAAATAATGGCACTCTAGGAAAATAATATTTTCTTAAAAAAATTTTAAAATAAGTATAATTAAAATTAATATATTTGAAAAGGAAAACAAAATTTAGTTGAAAAAAAAGAAAGCAAATGTTTTATAAAGCCATTACAATTAAATAAGTTTGATCTTAAATGCTTTTATATTATTGAAATGCTTTTTAATAAAGTAACAAAACATTTCTGATAAATTTTGATAAGTATTAATTAACTTTTGTTTTTTTAATTTACATATCTATCTATTTTTTATGAAAAATGTTTATCTTTTGAAATAAAACAAAAAATTAAGTACAAATGTTAAAACAATGAATAAAATGATGTTTTAATTCATAAATTACTAATAAGCATTACCCAGACAGCAAGCTTATTGGCCCAACGTAAGTTTTAACATTAGCAAGTTTATTCCGTCGGGCCAACATTTAGCCAATGTTTTTTTTTTTTTTTGACGTATTGTTTTTAATTCTACAAATCGATTTTTTGTAATTTTGTACTATATTGGGCCAACATTTAACCAATGTTTTTTTTCAACGTATTACTGTAATTCTACAAATCGGTTTTTTGCAATTATCGTACTACGTTGGGCCAACATTTTGCCAATGTAGTTTAGGCTTAATATTTTGCTATAAAAATCTGTCCTTACATTTATGCCGTAGCCAATATTCGGCCAATGTAGTTGCGGATTAGTATATATTTTTAAATTTGTTGCAAAACATTTTTAAAAATGGTATCGTTTAACAGAATAAAAAATGTTTTTTTATTTTTTTTATTTGATATTATCTTTCCATTTTTTTAAATGAAAAAAATTAAAAAAAAAAAGCTATATTTGTAAATCTTCTAAGAATCTTAAAAGGTTCCTTATAAGATATAAATTTTAAGAGATTGTCGTGGCTTAATGTTTTGTTTTTTTAAATAATGAATTATTTGTTAACATTTAAATAATATGCTTAAAACATTTTTTACAATCTAAATTATTAATGTAATGATAAAGGCAATAAATAATTTTTCTTTGTGTAAGATCTTAAAGTTATTTTTTATACTTATTGCTGTATTGGCATTTCAAACGTTTGATTTATTTATTAAAGAAGATATTTAAAATGTCTTTTTTATTAAATATATTAAACATTTGAAATGTCGTGCATTTCAAATGTTTAATATATTTATTATATTAAACATTTATATTATTAAAGGTATCTATTTAAATTTGTTGCAAAACATTTTTTCATTTTCTTTTTTAATACTTATAATGCACGACATTCAAATGTTTGATATATTTAATAAAGAAGACATTTTAAATATCTTCTTTATTAAATAAATCAAACGTTTGAAATGCCAATACAGCAATAAGTGTAAAAAAATAACTTTAAGATCTTACACAAAAAAAAATTATTTATTGCCTTTATCATTACATTAATAATTTAGATTGTAAAAAATGTTTTAAGCATATTATTTAAATGTTAACAACTATTTCATTATTTAAAAAAACAAAACATTAAGCCACGACAATCTCTTGAAATTTATTTCTTATAAGGAACCTTTTAAGATTCTTAGAAGATTCATAAATATAGCTATGTAAATCTGGAAAAATTTGTTTTTTACTTGTATTCTTGTTTGAAGGGGCTTGGCGATAAGACTGAATTTGTCTTCTTTTTGCCCCAGCCGTGTATATACAGTTTTTAAAGTCTAATTTTGTAAATATTTTCTTTATGGCGAAATATATATTATTATTATATATGTATAAATAATATATATGAGGCATTGAATTTGTTAGAAGCTGATTTTTTTTATTTTAAGTAATTCTTTTTTATTTGATTTTTTCTGTGTTTGATTGTGAAACTCCATCTTCTAACATAATAAAACAGTGTACAAAAAGTGATGTGACTAGAATTTATATACTACTTATGTAGAGCTTTATATATTGCCAGACATTTTATTTTAAGACCAATGAAAAGTCTATAATAATTTATTGAATTATGATATTTAATCAATAAATAATAATAAAAAACAATTAAAATAAAAAAACTCAATTTGAATCAATATTTTTATTTGTCTGATTTAAATCATGACTTAAATCGAAACAACCCTTTATACATTCCGTCTTTCTGAGGCAGAGGGATATTATTCTTGGTTTTATTATTTTCTAATTTAATATCTGTGGATATTTTTCAAATTAGTTTGCGTACAAGAATTAACAACTTTAGGCTTATACATTAATTTTAGTTATAACTTAATTATTAATGATTTGATTTATAGATTTTTAAAGCAATACAAAATTGAACTTAGCAGAAGGCTAAATTTTTGCTCTGGAGAAAAAAAAGGAAGACAACAAAAATGACCAGTCAAAAAAAATATTAAAGAGACAAAAAATTGTGTATATCTTCGTGTAGATGATTTATCCTCATTTTCTTATAATAAAACAAAAAATGTTATTAAACTTTAGGATTTACCTGAAACTCCAAACTCTTTACAGAAGTTCAATGTTTGTTCTGAGAAGTTGAATAAACAAATTTATTAAATGGTAAGTTTTTATATAAAAGTCTTTATATCTGATGATTGAAAATCTTTATTCATAGCTTTAGCTTTTACAACTTTAAAAACTTTATTTTTTAAGTTTAATGTAATAGAAAATCGTGTAGCTTTAAAAAGTAAACAGTATGTTTTGTTATTATATAAGTATTTAATTATTTTTCTACTTCTTACTAAAACATATTGAAGTAACGAATAAGTATAGAAAAGGTCGGTGTAGAATGGATTTACCAAGACCATACATACATACATACATACTAACATACATACATACATACATACATACATACATATATACATACATACATACATACATACATACACACATACATACATACATACATACATACATACATACATACATACATACATACATACATACATACATACATACATACATACATACATACATACATACATACATACATACATACATACATACATACATACATACATACATACATACATACATACATACATACATACATACATACATACATATATACATATATACATACTCGCATACGTTCATACATACATTTAATCTTAAGACACCTGACATCAAACAATATGCTTGACAATAAAGATAAATTAAACAGTAAATTTTATGCATGCTAAAGAAAATTCCATTCACATAATTTTTAGCTTGAATCAATTACAAATAAAGGTCAATGCTCTAAATAGTCTTGTTTATGGGTGTCAATTAAATGTTTTTTGGAATGCATAACATACTTTGCCTGATTTTAAATGTATCACTATTGAGCAGAGGTAGTAAGCTATTTGTGAACTATGATGCTCATTTACTTAATGTAGTTATTTATAAACAAAACGATTTTTTGTTGTTAGTTTTACGAAATGGTGATAGCTTTATCATTAATGGCTTTGCACAAATGGTGATAGCTTTATCATTAATGGCTTTGCACAGAATTTCGGCAGATTTTGTCTCAGTAAAACTTTTGATGTAAAACTGATGTAAAATGCAAAATTTTTTTGTTTATGTTGAAGTTTACTGTTACTTATTTAATTGTTTTTTTTTATTGTATCATAATTATCTTAGGGCTTAAGTATGTCAAAAAATTTGATTGATAGATTATTTCATTAAACGTAGAAAAAGTATTTAAAGAGATTCAATTAAAAAACATATAAACAAAAAAAAAAAGCATATAACGTAATATTATGTAATCCTGGAAAAATTATGTTACCTGATTCAAAAAATAAATAGGGACAAGGATGATAGTATGTTGTGTTACGTTTAGTGTTGTTAAAACAATCTAAGTAGCTTCCTATTTTAGTTACACAGTTGCCCAATGTTTTTGTTTGTAAATCTAAAAAAATCAAAAAAATTTGAAAATAAATCAAATTTTGAACATTTTCTGGTGGATGGGGAAGAAAAGATTTAAATTCAGACGTTGAGACTTGTTCCATGAAAAAAGAAAAAGGTGGATGGCTCAAAGAAAATTTGCCACTAACTCAGTCTAAATTTTAAATAAGTTTATTTATGACAGTTTAAATTTTAAACAGTTTAAATATTTAAATTTCAGTTTATATAAGTTTATTTATGACAAGGTTTATAAAAAAATCTTGGTGAGGTGCGCTATATATTTTTTTTCGGGTGATCTGATGTAAGTTGGCCAATGTCGCAGTATCATTAGCTTTGTAGCAGTAGAACCTCAAATGCTTCAAAACCTGTTAAAAAATATTTGTTTTCAATGGTTAATGTTAAAAATTTGTTAAGGTTAAAAAAATGAAAAAAAACTCAGGAACCAATATTTGATGATAATGGACCAGGAGTGCAAAATGTATTTATCTAAAGCATCTTTATGATGCAGAATCTAGAAGTCTTTTCAAGTTATCTAAGCTGAATTAAACTTCTACTAAAAGTTTCATTTTGAATGATTTTCATTTCAGCTGAATGAAACTTCATTTTATTTCAGCTGAAACTTATACTAATCGGGTCAAAATAGACCCGAAAAAATAGTGGCAGATTTGCAATAATTTGCATAGAGCTGAAAATTGGTACATACCTTGAGTACATTAATACAAATAAGGTGTTAAAAGTCCCCATCGATCCCATATCTGCAAAAAATGTTATTCAAGGTCAAAGTTATAAAAAAAGGTTGTTGTTTTTTTTTAAAAAAAAAAGAAATGTGAAGTGCATTTTAACGCTTTTTTGAATAAACTGTTTCAGCGGCTTTTTTCTGATCTTATATAAGAACAATAAAAAATGCTTTTTTTTTAAATAATTTTTTAAACTGATTATTCTCGTCTGACTTCCAAAAATTCTTAGAACAAAGTTACGAACAATGAAATACTTTTAATGTTGAACGTTCTATTGCAGTGAATAGTATCAAGTAGTATTTTTTATTACGATTGGAACCGTTTAATACTTTTATTAAAATTTCGCAATTATGTTTTATTTGTAGTAAACTTTTAACAGCAAGTGAAACTGTTGTTGTTGATCGTGGAATGAAAACTTTGATTGATACGAGTATTAAAAGAAGTGCCGGTTTTTATGAATATCTGAAAGATCTGAAGTTTGTGACAATTCATGTGGGGTGCCGTAAAAAGTATACTCGGAAAAGTACTATTGCTGCATTTAAAAGACAGCAAGATATAGATCAAGTCAGCACATATGAAAATAGTCCACCTCGTACCGGAGCGCACGTAAGTGAACCACTTTTTTGTTAAAAAAAATGTTGCTAATTTTGCGGTGATAAAGCAAACGAGGAGTCTGAGAAGAAGAAAGCTATGAAAGTTCGGCGTAAAATTCATGAAGTTGCTACTCTTAAACTTAAAGAATCAATTCTGAAGATAGCATGGAATTGTTCTGATGAAGAAGCAAAAAAGGTTACTGCACGCATTGAATATCAATTTGATATAGTTGCTGCTGAGGCTAAATACCATAATACATGTTATATTTCTTTCTTGAGACCAACCAATGGGTGTAAAATCGGTCGTCCTCAAGAAGAATCTACAAATGTTGCGATGGAATAAATATTTAAATACATTGAAAACAGCGATGATTGCCAGTTTTCATTAGAAGAATTGAAAAACATTTGCAAAAATCCACATTTAGATAACAAAACAATTAAGACACGATTAAAGTTGAAGTTCGATAATAGAATATTTTTCACTGAAAAACCGGGAAAATTAACGTTTATTTGTTTTTTGAAGAGTCATAGCGATGTTCTTACCCAAGCTTGGTATAAGAAGAAAAGTCAAAATAAAAAAGAAGAATTTTATTTCGAATTTTAAAATCTGCGGCAGCAATCATTTGAGAGGACATTCAATCATTAATATTTGATAGTACCAATTATCCCTCGCCTAGTCAAGTGTTTGAAGATATTAACAGCGATATTCCAGAGTTGTTGACTTATTTTTTAGAGCAAGTTATTTTAAAAAAAAAAAGATCTAAATCAGAACATTTAAAATTAGTGTGTACAAGTATCAGCGACATGATTATGTCTGCTGTTAGGCCTAGGTCTTTCAAATCAAAATTGCAATTGGGTCTCGCAGTATTTTTCCATCGACGGTTTGGTTCCAAACTTCTTATACAAATCTTTTACGTCTTTAGGTTTATGCGCATCCTACAATGACACTATAATGTATGAGGCAGCAGCAGTTTTCACCATCCGCCTTTTATCTTACCACCACAAACTGGCACATTTATTCAATACGCTGCGGACAATGCTGATATAAATGTAAATAGTTTAGACGGTAATAACTCGCTTCACATAATGGGTATCATTCAAATTGTTACCCCAAAAGGTTCAGCTTCACAAGAGGATCATATACCACGAATAAAGAAAATCCCTTCTGCAAAAGATTTTGCAGCAAAAGCACATGTGCCAATTCAAATCTATCAAAATGATGGTGTAGTTGGTTATTGTAAATAAATCTGCAAAATATAGGTTATGAAAGTGAAGCACCAATATCTTTAATCCAAAATGTTGAAGCAATATGGTTCTATGGTAAATGCAAGAATTTATCGTTACCCGGTTGGAATGGCTATATCGAACGTTTAACAAGTAGTATTCAGAATTTATTTTAGTCTAAAATTTTATTCTCACCGTTTATTCACCAACCAGCAAGTAACTACAATACAATATACACGACTTTACTTTGTGCTTTAGAAAATGCGAAACATTACGGCCACGAAGTATGCATTATTACTTTCGATCAAGCTTTGTATGCAAAAGCTCGAGAAATTGTATCTGCTGCACATGCACAAAGAGCATAATAAGACTTAGAGAATTTCATTTACTAATGACATTTTTTGGTTCAATTGGTTATATTATGCAAGGAAGCGGCATACGAGAGGCACTTTCGTCAATTTATGCACCTAAGTTGTTAGAAAAAATGCTCAATGGCCATGCTTACGCTTGAGCTGTTAGAGCTCGTACATTACTTCAGCTCACTTTAGCTATAATAATTTCAAAAGATCTTGCTATTGATGAGGAGATGGTAGCAAATCTTGATATTACCATTAAGGATGTCATAAATGACAAAGTTTCATATAGTGATATTGAAAGTGGCGTTGATAATGAAATGTTCGATGCATTACTTTATAAGTTCAATGAAAAATTAAAAGAATTTGATATACAATATTTTAATATAATCAAAATATATGGATACAATATCTTAATATGGTGTCAATTTCAAAGGAGTTTATCAGAGCTGAACGCATGGGAAATTGGCAAGGTTATTTGAACAGTATTAAAGAAATGCTTCCTTATTTCCACGCATTGGGACATTTTCCTTATGCTAAGTCAGCGCACTTATATCTACAGGATATGCTACAATTAGAGAAGTTAATGAATCAAAGTGTTTATCAACGGTTTATCAAAGGATTTTTCACTGTTAGACGTTCTGCTAAACTCAATTGTGATACTTCAACAGATATGATAATTGAGCAATCAATGATGAAATCAATGAAGACATATGGAGTATTTCTCAAGGAAGAAGTACAAAAAAAAGTGTTATAATTTATTGGGTTTATTGCATGCATGCAATGAACACTGTATGTGAAGAATTAGAAGATCTTGCTGATATTAGAACGTATACAACAGATCAGCATGTAGATGCAAGTGATTCACGAATACAGAAAGATGATAAAGATATTGTTAAACTTTAGCAGTAGTTTTTTTTCACATGATCCTTTTCCTAAAATTAAAGATATCATTTCAATTGCTAGTGGAATGGTTGGTGATAATAAAATCAAATGTCATAATGCTCGTAAAGTTGGGATTGCTTCTATGTCTAAAATGATAGGTGAAACATTTAATATCAAATTAAAACGCGCTGATAAAGTTCTTCCTCTTCTAACCATGAGTAGCACCATAAAAGTTCATGATAAGAAAGTACCTGTAGATCCAGTATTACTATTTCAACGTATGAGTATTACTAAAACATTTGAGGATGAAATAAAAAAAAAAGAAAGATTTACAGCTGCAAATATTATAGTGAAGCAAGCAGATAATGACGCTGATGTCCTTATAATTGAAACAGCCATAGAACAATCCAATGCAACAAATACTTCTGTTGTTGTCGGTGAAGATGTTGACTTATTGGTATTACTGACTGCACGGACTCCAATTGATATGACTATTTACTTTTTAAAACCCGGTAAAGCTCATCAACCAACATAAATATATTTATCAAAAAGTTTATCTGTTTATTCAAAATGTCAAAATCATATCTTATTTTTACATGCAATTTCTGGCTGCGATACTACATCAGCATTTTTCAGAAAGGGTAAAAGAACCGCATTTAAATTATTTGAAAAACGTGATTTAACTAATTGCACCGAAGTGTTTCAAAAAATAGACTCTTCACCACAAGATATTGTTACAAACGCGATTGGTTTTCTTCTTGCTTTATATGAAGCTTCAAATAAAATTAATTGTTTAGACAAATATAGATACCTAACTTTTGTAAAAACGCTCGGAATTATAAAAGAGTGTAGTTATCTTGTCTTTCTCCAACATCTGCTTCTTCTTGCCAATATTTGTATCGAGTATATTATCAAGTTCAAGTATCGCTAGGCAGTTAACTAGACCCATCAGACTGGGGTTGGAAATTAGTAAAAAATACATTAGAGCCGATTAAAACTTTACTCCCACCAGCTCCAGAAAAACTTCTCAATATCATCTTCTGCAATTGCAAAAAGGGTTGTAGTGCAAAATGTAGCTGTAAAAAAGTTGGGTTATTTTGTTCATCGGTGTGTACTAATTGCCGAAACCAGTCCTGCTCCAATGTTGAATCAAATTCAATAAATGATGATTTTGATGATATCAATGAGGAGACAATTAATGTATCTTTTTCA